GGGTGCAGATGGAGCAATAATATGAAGAGGGCTGAGTGTAGACTGGGAATGCATCTAACCCTTGTCAGATCCTCCTACCAGCCAGGGGCAGTTACGCCCCAGCCTCACATGACCAACTCCAGATGCACACCACGCAGTTAGGACCCATACAGAAGCAAGGATTCTCCGCTGCATACTATAAATATGGAGACCCACATAACGTCACAAATACTAGGAATTTCATACTGTGAGTGGCCACACAAGCCCTGCGATTATTCTAAGAGCAAGGGAGATGGGATCATTTCCATGAAACCCGATTGAATCGTTGCATCCACGAAGCTCTCGACGATCCCTGTTTGCGGCCGTGAACTCCGTTTTGTTTCTCTCCTGGCGGCGCGTTCCGTGGACAGGGCGCCGACTCCGTAACCGAAGTTATTACCACATAGCTGTCTCTTGCTGACGTGATGTACTTTCTTCAGGTTCTTTCGACGAGCGGACTCTGTTGTGGCTCGCAGGGCTGTATTAGCGTGACAGACAGTTGGTAACCAATTATATTAAAAGTTTGCATCAGGAGGTCTCGGCATTGACTTCATTGGTTGCCTTTAGAAGGATTCAATGGTGGATAGGCAGCAGCATTACATCCTAAACGGGTCAGTGTGTTGCGGATGGTGCGATCGATGCTCAGAACTCGATACAGACACCGGCGTTTATACGCAGTATTGCAAAATGCTCAGGGCTAATCTCCTTTACATTACGACGGTCACCTTGTCTCTACAAAAACCTATCTTGTACATCAACCGGCTGCTGGTGCCTTGAACAGGCTGGCGAATAGGAGGACCTGAGCAAGGGTCGGACACATTTCCTGTCCACGCTAAGCCCTATTTACACAATTGTTCCGTCTGCCCCAGGCCCTGCCCAGTACCCTAGTGACCAACGTGCAATGCTACTGAATCCTACAGGGCCAAGGCTTCTGATGCATCCATTAGCAGGCCAGTGCAGGGGGGCTGAAGCTCAGTACCCAGACTCTTGTACACATGAGCCGCTGACCTCTTGCCTATTCTAATGAATTCCATAGACTACGTCTCACATCTAAGCCAAGAGAGAAAGCGATGGGGGATCGGTCTATAATAAGACCAATACAATGGGTAAGAGGACTATTCAAGACACCGGGGCGAGGGCAGGGCGACCAATGGTGAACGGGCAAGACGGATCGAGATCCTTTTCGGGCCGTGTACAACGGGGCCAATCGGTCCGGCGAGGTATGGGAGACTAACAGGCTTCATCATCTTCGTGCATGTGAGACCCTATAGCCGGGCCGAATTATTACTCGATGCCGATTCTAAACTCGGGCCGTCGAAGGTTGCCTGCTTCTGAGAAGCGTCTGCCTTCACATGACCAGTTGAGATGCGGGTCATCCGATTGGGTTCCTAAGAGTGAGCCAAGGATGTTCTTCTGCAAAGGATAAATGGAAAGATCCCTCATCTTGCCAAAAATACCTGGATTTTGTTGGTTCGTTTGACATGAGGGTGTGAGTGGAGACGACCAGCCTAGGGCAAATGTGACATTCGTCCTGCGGCTGCCCAGTTCAGTAGCGATCGGCTGGCAGTAGAGCCTGATGAAGCGCCATGTCCGGCAGAATCGACTGATGCTGCTACGCTGCGCGGCTGTTGATGGTCCGAGGCCGAGTTTGCAACCTGCCAGACCGCAGGCGATGTTCGACGGAGTGCACCTCACAGGACAATTTCCAACACCCGTGGTGGCGCAGCCGTTGCCCTTGTTACCTAGAATGGTTGGTTGCATTTCATCTTGTCGAGGCTGCCATGTAACTGTATCGTGACTGGCCATGACTGGTCCCTTGCTGCTACGACCCGGGACGGGAACAAGATCGTATATCGATACTAATCAAACGGGAAGTTCGATTTAGCTGCTTGTATTTATATTTTTCGAGTGGCCACTGAATGCCGCTATTCTTAATCAAGAATACCCAATCCTTACTACATATTAATTTCATACACTTGAGTCTGAAATAAAGGTCGCGCTTGAGGGACCCCTTGATATTGCTCAATTGAACTTCATGACTTTCAATCGACAAACTGGATTAAGGTGGGCCAAAACCTTAATCAGATTATGTACTACGAGCTATCTCCAAAGAAGTCTACTTCGAGCGGATAAGGCTTTCTACACCTGATAGGCATTGTCGATCCGGTTTCGGTGTTAACACTAAATGCAGCCGCAGCTGATGGGGAAGCAGAGCAAAATGGGCTGCCCAACGTTACAACTGGCAGTTCTCCGTCTGGTTGGCTACAGGACGATGAGGCAGATGAGATATACGGAGGAAGACTTCGCTGTTGACAGGGCAACTTGGTGTTGTGCTCATACGAAATGTTGCCCTGTCGGTAACAGTCTCAAAATTATCGGGCCCGAAACGGTGAGCAGGCCGATGTTTATTGGGGACAGGAGAGAAATGCTTGTCGGATTCGTAGATGTAGGTCTCAAGTGTATCTCAAATAAAGTTTCCGAGGTGAATGTCAACGGCCGGTAGCCGATGGCATGATAAACTCCTTGATGGGGCAATTTGGCCAGCCCTTGCTGATAATGGTTGTGACAATTTCTGGATTGCTGCACCCATCTGACGAGGTGCCCCCGAGGCCTCGCAGGCAAGCCTACGCTGCAGCCAGTATCGACCAGTAAAGGAAAGTTCTACGTCTACCCATGCAATAAAATTTCGCCGCCGTTTTTTTCCCACCAGACGCGGCTGTGGAAAGAATCGGCCACAGCCTCCGTGATGGTACGGTCCCTGCAGGGCCCACAACCCAAAAGAGAGGTTCCGTGGAGGGGTCACCTGCCCATTGCGTGATAGCTTGCTGGATGCGGATTCGAATGCCCTCCTCGAATTTCCTTTCAGGGCCTGTCTTCGCCGATGGGATGTAGTCTGGGACTTGTGCCGTCGCCGCAACAACGGATAATTGAGATTTAAGCGATTGGAAAAGTCCTGAGATTGTGAGCGATTCGCTGGCGTTTATGCCTGCCTTCGACGCATTCAAGGAATCTCATCTCCAAGCCCTAGGGGTGTAGAGGGCAGGAAGTGGTGAAGAGCGGTCTATTCTCTTTAGAGGAACGGACTGCAACATGCTGTACAGCATGGAACATTGTTCTAAGTGCGCACTCCAACGTCACGACATCTAGAGAGCTCGGGCCCGGGCTCTGACACGTACTGACCGGCAGAAACTGGTACGTACTGATTGGCAGAAAGTGGTACGTACTGGCTGGCAGAAAACGGTACGTACTGACTGGCAGAAAATGGTACGTACTGATTGGGAGAAAAAGATACGTACTGACTGGCAGAAAACGGTACATGCTGATTGGAGGAAAAAAAGATACGTACTGACTGGCAGAAAATGGTACGTACTGATTGGGAGAAAAAGATACGTACTGACTGGCAGAAAACGGTACATGCTGATTGGAGGAAAAAAAGATACGTACTGACTGGCAGAAAATGGTACGTACTGACCGGCAGAAAACGGTACGTACTGATTGGGAGAAAAAGATACGTACTGACTGGCAGAAAACGGTAGAGTACGTCACCGTGCAGCCGGATACACCCGGCAACCGGATGGGCCACGATCACGGCCACGAGAACAAAAACAACGATTGCACACTCAATTTATATGCTATAGAGTTATCTCAATACTAAACTGATGCTGAAGTTCATCTTCACGATAGCTAAGCGTGGTGTAGCTGATTTCTCGTGGATCTGGCACGTGACCGGCCGTACGTCGCCGTCGTCGTGATAATGGGTCATCATCGTCGCCAATAGCCCTCCGCACGTCAGCAAAGACTTCATTCGGCGCCTTCGGTACCCGTTGACGCTTTCGAGGTCTGAGCTCCTCCACGAGGGTATTCAGACGTTTATTCTCGTCCTTGAGAACCGCAACCTCCCCTAGAGTAGAGTCTAGCTTCTTGCCCGTCTTTACCACTAAGGACTGGACCTCTCTTTGGACCTGATTTGTGCCATCTACAACCCGGTTGGCCATAGCAAATTAGTCAGCGGCCTTCTGAGGGGTTGATGTTTAGACTGATAGGTATCTCGAGTCTTTGTGGTGTTGACGGCCTTTCTTCGGCTTGAATGTCCTCCTCTACATCATCCACCATTTGTAGCCGACGATATACCTTCTGTGGGTTGAACGGCACTATCCCAGTGCAAGAGAAGCCGCTCCGGATGTTTTCTCGTGAGAAGGCCTTATCCGAGGCTTGTTTATAGCACCGAATCGCTAGCCGTTTGTTAATAGGCGCCGTCCCGGGCACAAACGAAACACGTGACGATTCGTCACGATAAAACCTCTTCAATGGCGCAAACGGCCCTTTATCACACGACTGCGAGAGGTGCGACGTATGTGACGGCAAATAGAGAAGGTATACTCGATTGTACCAAGCCCGTGCCATTACTGAAGTCGACGTATACTTTAAGTACAATATCAGGGACATGGATCACATTTCCATCACCACCACTTGATATTTCTCACTAACGACCCAACGGCGTACTGTACTAGTCGCGCTAGCTTGACCTTCATGTAGCATTTGTGTGTAGTCAACAAAAACGTAATTTATAAGTATTTTGCTCATTAGGCGTGCTCAACAAGATACTCTTGATATTCGAAGGCATGAATACGATACAGATTCGAAAGTACCTGCTCGTCTTCCCTACGAAGGATTCGAGGCATATCTGATAGAGTACGAAGGGGAAAACTCACCCTTTAAGGAATATTCTGGATTAAGCAGGGAACAAGATGGCCACCGGTGATGTTCGTGAAAAGGCGTTGCCCCCAATACCATTACCCGGAGGTCAGACCTTCGGTTGCCCCCTACGGGGTTGTCACCCGAGCGTTTTCTTTTGGGTGCAGAACCCCACCAAATCCATAACCCGAGCATGATTACACCACAACCTCGTCGCCACCACATCGCACACTTGAGGAATCTGCAAAGCTGAGGGTATTCCCAACTTTCAGTGGCAAAAATACAAATAGTCCCTGTTGGATTCGAACCAACGGCCTCCCACCAGTCTGCACGAGCTACGAAATGGTCATTTGGGGTGGGCGCTCTGCCTCTGAGCTAAGGGACTGGGACCAAGTCGTAGCAAGTGCGATAGGAAGCCCTCTCACTTGTTGATGCCTCGCCTTCAAGTGTTGGAAAACACCAACATCCATAGGCTGAAGCTTATGGGTTGAGTTTGGGGGTAAGAAGATGATGAGGATGTTAAATCGATAGGCGTAGGTCACGAGCTGAATAGAATAGTGGCCTGCGAAGCCGTCAAGAAAAAGCGCTCGCCAGATCGTGCCCTCGGAAGCCCGTCGACCCTTCGCCATCTCTGGCGGGTCCTCATCGACTTTCCAGTCAAAACAGAAGGCTTTGTCAATGCCAAACCATTCCTCAAGTGTCACGCCAAGCCGCTCGAAGTCAGCATGAAAGCCTAAGGAGTGTCGGTTGAAGGGTCATTGGTCATTGGTCGTAGTGCGCTTGCCATGCACATGCTTCAAGCACACCCGACGGGATTACATATGACCAGGAAGAGCGGCTCGAAAGAGAGGACAAATCGTACATGTCGGAGGACTTGCGGTGGTTTGAAATCTGGGACATTATATTTCCGCACATCGCGCGACATTCCTCTGCATGCTATTCCGGCGAGCGAGATGTGGCCATTTGCGCTTTTCGGAAGTTTTGAGGGGGGATGGGGAGCAAGTTTTCGCAGAATTCCTCGAGGCCAGCGCATATCAGAGCTACAGGATACTGAACGAGGAGAGGACGTTGCAGAAGATATATGACTTTGTGGAGGAGAACGTGGTAGAGAGGATATTTGAAGACTGTCATGAATAAAACCTTGTGCGACTGCACTCTGTCCATAGAAGTACCGGTCTCCCATTTCATGGTTATAACTAACCTTTTTTGATCACCACTTCCGATTGAAAGAGGCCTTTGCCAGGGCCTCAGCTTGGATTTTCCAGGTCTCGCGGCCCAGCCGCACCAGCTCAGGACCGAACTCGCTCAATACCAGATCCACGTCACGTCTACCCTGTAGAGATGCCGTAGTTACTGATAGACTCCCAAAACTCTTCATCGCTGGCAAAAGTCGCCTGTTTCCATTGTGCCTTTAAATTGCTCAGCCTCACAAAGATTATTGATTTTGAGCAAGCATTTGCAATCAAGCAGCTTAATGCTCCAGGCCTTGTTTTCACTGGCTAAGTTTCATTCAGTGCATGGTCAGAACGTTGGCCTTGCAGATCTTGTGGCCAGACATGCTGGAGGCGTTGTCGATGTAGTGAGAAATGATGGGCGTAACGACAAGCGCAACGCGCATGTAATTTTGTTGTAGAGGTTGCCCGAACGTGTTCTTGTTGAGCGCATTGTGGCTATCGTGATTGAACATGACTCCGCATTCGTCCCAGCCGAAAGAGAATGGTCGGCAGCTCGTCCTCATCTTGGCGCTGCACTCAATGGCGACACTGGTGATGGAGTACAGACTGGAAATGACGTTTCGCTGCTCAAGCCCGTCCCGCATAAAAGGACCAGCGATACTCATGATTCCCTCGGCCTGTTGATCCATGTGGAAGTCGGGGAACCCCAAGCATCTGTGATAGATCGAACGAGAAGCATCCGCTTCTTGATTCAATATGTTTTCGGCGCCATCATACCGTCCCCTGGCAGTCGAGGGGGTGATTGCATTTGTTTCCTGATGATGCCGCCGCTTCTTTCCAACGAATGACGGATTTGCTGCGCTTTGCGATTGAGTCATGATGAGGATGACGGGCAAAATGAAACTTTGGCACAGACTATTGTTGTAGGTTCAGAAGGAAGTTGGGTGTTTTGTGGGGAAGAAGGTGTCTGGGGCAGGGGACGGGTGGGTGGGTGTGTTGAAGTGGGGAACCTGTTGCCGTGGACTATTTGTTGCAAAAGAGACAAAAAGCCTTCACCAAACGCCGAGCGGTCTGCCCCCTCTGGATAGGTCATACGCGTTGAAAGCGCGTCAACAGCAGCCTACGACTTTTAAGCGGCAGCGGCGCAGCCGTTTCTCCCTCGCTCGTGTATTTATACGCGAGCATCACTCGCCTTGTCTGCCTCCTTCACTTTTGTGTCTGTGTAGTAACAGCTTGGTTGTCCCTTCTTTAGTTCTTGGTTTATGGGTCATGTGTATTTAGCGAGTCGCTTCTCGTGATTACTGAGGTCTTCACCGTGCAACATAGGGCGAAGCAATCAACAACAGGCCCGGGGATTTCGGGCTATGCCTTCGGTCAACTCCTTTCCCAAGTTGGCATGGAATTTATAGTCCTGTAAAGTGATGCAATTACGCTGTGGTTGATTTGTGTTATCAACATGTTTCCTTCTACTAGGTTGGAACCTATAGGAAGGAATACATAATATGCTGAGCTGGCGCCACACAGCGTTTGGAGTCACGATGAGCTCATGACTTGGTCAGACCTTGAAAATCAGACATTCAAGTTGACGACCAAATAGCTGCATCGATTTCAGCTTATCCTCCTGCCTTTGCTTCCGAAATGTCTGCTTGGTGATAGCTTGGTACAGAGATGGATCAATGGTTTCGCAAAGATCAATAAGATCACATAGTAGATGGCCAATTCCGAGCTTGCGTCTGATGAGCCAGGCGAGCTCAAACGGCGCAATGAGGTCCTTATCCAGCGGTGTGCCAGAAAGCAGCCTGAAGCATATCTGGCCCCTGCAAGCAGGCTTGGTAATGAGTCCAGTGGTAACGGTCTGAGATTGATACGCCCAGATTAGCCAGCGACGCGACCTTGGAAATATCGCCGGCCAGAATAGCCATAGCAAGCGTGGTCGACTGGTTATCTGAACCTGCTATCCAAGCGAGGTTTGACCGTCTTATACGACAAGTTTTCTACATTCTCCATACCCTTAAGTTTCCAAGATAGTGGTGATCAACCGGGTTCTCATTGCCGGCATTAAATGTTTCACTTCTCTCAGCGACATAAACTGCCTACCTCTAATCATAATGTTATTGTTTACGTCATGTAAATAAGTACCGTGGTTCTTGGATACAATGTGTTGTTTATTTTTCTTGTGGACTTCTATTCTAGACCTCCAGGCTCACAATCCCATTTGAATAACACTGAAGCAAAATGACATAGGTCCTCCTCGTCTTCTGCTCGAGATCAGCTCCATGCATCAAATGCCACTCGGCCGGTCGGTGTTTTTGTAGCGATTGTATCCGACAAAAGGCCCATAATCTGTATCCAAAAATACTCGCAATACGACGGCCTGCCGCACAGCACTGCATTATGTCTCGATTCCAGACAGCCAATCATGAATATGTATGCCGTGAGTGGGAGATAATCCCCTGCCTTTTCCCTCGAGATCCTGGTATGAATAGAAAAGTAGAGGGTAACGGAGCACATAGTAATTGCGGTTCCTGTATTGAACAAACTTTCCGTTCATTTTCTGGATTGCCTCTTTCAGGATACTCTGAAGCTCGTTGACTCCGTAGTGGTCAAGGATTTCGTTGACCTCCGCCACGATGTTCTGTACCAGGTTAGCTTGGCATTTTAGAGGGGGTAGTGTAGATACTGGATGACCCTGTGAAAGTGAAGTGCTTTGGATCAAATTCCTAAAATCACCATGTTGATCTTCAGCTCAAATCAAACCTATCATAAAGAAAGACCTTCTAATATATATTCCTTGACAACTAGCATTTCAACTTATTCTAACGTACATCAGAATAAAGTCTCTACCACTTGTATGGCCCGTGCATATTGAGCACACCTCGGGGTACGGGGTACCTCGTTCCTCCCAGCCACCGCTGTGAGAGTTTAGCTACGTAATCATGGTGGCCAACTCACCCCAACACGTTTCAGGGTCCTGATTTTGAGGATGCCCTGAGTGGCTGTCAAGCCGCTCTTGAGGTTGCCCGGGCGGACTCCTTGGACTCAGCAACCTGGTCCTCATATTGTATTACCCCATATAACAAGGGGCCATATCGCATTTATTGAAGACCTGGTGAAGTCCGCTCTGCTGTGGTCACACAGGTCTTCTTTCTCCCGCTGTACCCATTATCGTCTCCGGATTCTATGTCGCCTCTCATGCCAGTATGCAACGGGATCTCGGGTCTCGACATGCTCGCCGTCATTAGCACACCAAGACTCGTACTCGTCGCCAGAAATTCGCCGATTCTGCTGCTGGGGCTGCTTTCGACTGTCGTTATGGTCAAACGGGTCGAAAAACTTGCGCCTTTTTGGAGGCGGCGCTTCCTCGCCGTCATAATCATCAGCCACAACGAGATCTGAATAGTTTTGCTGCCAAACTGCCTTCACCATGGTCTTCGCCGTCGAAATCCAAGTCGGAGTCTGCTCCCATTGCTGCTCAAACCATGCCCAGCCATAAGAGGGATGGAGCGCCAAGGCCGTGTAATAGACAGGTGTTTCATCGAGTTCTTAGATGGTCAGCTTTGGCCATATAGCCACCAAGATAACTTACTATGGTAGTACTCGTCCATCTTCTGCCATGCTAAGTTGATACCAATCCTGAATTGGTCAGGATCGGGAAAGTCCTCGGCCTCGGCCTTGAACTTTTCAAGCTTGGCCATAAGCCTCTCAAACCCTAAGATGACATCCCATATGTTGCCGTAAGAGCCGACAAACCCATGCTTGCGTTTTCGAACTTGGCCATCACCCTCCAGAGTTTTCACCACTGTTTCAAACTCTGTTAGGATCTCCTCGAGCCGCTGGAGCACATCCCAGTCATTTTGAGACAGCTGTGATTCATCTCTGACGATATGAGGTACCTTAGCACTCTTCCTGAGTTGCTTGGTGCGTTTGGTCCTGTTCTCATCCTCCCACTCCTGCTTGAATTTGAGGATGGTGAGCTCGAGGTGTCTTCGAAGTTTGAGCGCTCGACGGATCATGTAGAGCTGCGAGAGCCAGCGCGTGTCGTTGTCTCGAATGACTTGGAGTGGTTTTCTAGCTCGTAACTTGGCCCTTGATGCCTTTTTAATATCATCGGCTTGGATGTCTCGGAGTAGATAGGATAAGCGTTGCGCACGATAAATGTGATGCACAATATTATGCAGCTTGCCTAAAACATCTTAGCGAAGGAACCCAA